GCTGAACCTTTTCTTTTTTTTTTTTTTTTTTTTTTTTTTTTCTCTCTTTACATTCAGTCATCAATGCTAATTGCTTTGCCTCCTGCTCTGTGAACCAATGAGTCACAGGATTTGGGATCTCCACACGGGATGCATAATTTTTTACCTTTTCGTGAACCCAGCCGGTCAGTAGTGGCCAAAAGCTCTTTGCTGGTGGTTTTGCATTGGCTGGAACTAGTTTTGCTGCCTCTACAGTGAAGCCTTTTTCTAGAGGAGAGCAGAATAACAGAGGCTTCCCAGAAACAGTTACCACTGCTGGCTGTCGGTCTCAGCAGAGACCAAGGACCAAGATAAGCAGCCAACTCAGTGTCCCCCCAGACCCCGGACAAGGTGGAGGACGAGTCTTTGCCCACTTCAACCTGCTGATTTAAATTCTGGTAAATACATAATGGGCATTTTCTGCCTTACTCTTTCTATGCAACTCTCCTTCAGCTGAAAAAAACCCCACCACTGTCATTTGCAAACATTAGCTGATGCTGGCCTGTAGCCTCACCCACCAGCCTTTATGGGCAAGATCATTCAAACCCTCCCCAGAAAAAGGCACCACCTCTAACTTAAACAGAAATCTAGTTCTGTAAAGTCAAATATAGAGTGCAAATGAAATCTTGCCATATCTGGTATTTTAAGTGTCAGAAACTCCCAGTGGCTCCTGAAGACCAATATGTGGATATTTTCCTGACATTTCCTTCTCAGCGGTGGCAAGACTATGCAAAATGAGAAATCCACATTGAACTCTGATTCTGCCATACAATGAAAAAATCATTTAATAATCAGAAAAGCATGTCATTATTTAAATAGGCTTACACCAGACTATTAAAATACCATTTTTTTAGCATGACTACAGAGTTGCAAAATTTAGAATCAAAAAGTTTTACTCTTTCAACAGCCAAAAAATCATTAATTCAAAGACTTTTTTAAGGAAACAAATTGTTTAGTGCAAGAGAATTCCCAGAATTTTCAATATAAAAATGATATCTTTAAAAACATTTATGTTAGTGAAAAGACCTTAAATTATAATGGTGATTTTTTTAATAAAGTCATACACTATGCACCTGTCATTTGTCATTGTGGCAATAAGCCTAGAGTGTTTCCTTATGTATAATGCTTCTTCATTTTCTACTAAATATTGTCAGGCTGTTCTGACATCATTCCTGATAATCACCTGGCGATGACATCAGACCAAAATATCCATTTTCTGTCATTGTTAATTTTCCAATGCTGGAAATACCTGATTGTTTTCTTAACTGTGTCGCCTTTAATTTTATTTTTAAACAACTAGGAAAACATTTGAACTGGTTTTAGCTACACAGACATATACATGCTTTTCAATCCTCCCATGAGAACTACTTTTTTTTTTTCAGTTTGACAAATCCAATCCAACATTCGGGAGGTAAAGTATCACATAGCATTGCTTTAAGTATAGCAACTTGTGCTTGAGACAAAAAAAAAACCCAAACTGGACTTTTCTTGTTTATTTAGCCTACAAAGTAAATCGTTCAGGCTTCTCTACAAAATGAGCCAATACTGAATATGTGCAAGCAGGCCACTAAAAGAAGAGATGAGATTTACAGAACTGTGCTTTGAAGTTGTGTACCTGCTGCTCGTTCCTGCAGCTTTCTCTAGCAAAGTTTGCTGTAGCTTTGAAAGGCAAGGTTTTCGCCCCTTCAGAACTGCAAAAGCATTATGGTAAGGGGCCGGTATACCATGACACGCACACAGTTTTGAAAGTTTAGCCCAGTTCTCTGGATTCATGGATGGGCTCCTGCTGAGGTCAGCAAAAATGTAGAGGAGGAGAGCTTTCCCCGGAGCCACGCTGCTCAGATCCTGCAGGGAAGACAAGAAACGCTGGTAAGGTTTCAGAATGGTTTCAGAATCCCAAGCCGGCAGTGTTTTTATAGAGGCTTTTGGCCTTTGCATCCTCCCTCATCATATCATGTATCTATCGAGCTTTTTTTGCCAGCTGTTGCCCCAGTGTATTGCATTTAAACTATGTTTACATGTTGTAGGCTGTGTAAGCAAGAGATGTGAACTTTGCTTCTTGACCTAAGGTGCTTTTGACCTAAGAATATGTCATTCCCTCATTGACTTTGCATGGGAACCCAAGCATTTGGTTGGACTCTTGCAAAATTCTTTCTTGAAAATTAGTTAGATTTTCAAAACAGCCCCTGCTCAACCACACTGGCTGTTGTGAAGAGCTTCTTCACCCCTGCCTCACCAGCACCCTCCTTTTCTTCTGCTCAGATAGTGCTGCCACCTTTGGATACCTCCCAGAAAGCACCTAGTTTTGATTCCCCAAATTTATCTCCCATACACATCTAGCGTGAGGTCTACAGCCTTCTGAAAACCACTCGCTGCTGATAAATCCAGCAGATGGGATCTTTGGTGTTCTTGCTTTAAAGACCAAGCAAGGAGAAGTCTTCTTATTCTGAGGGAATTTGTTCGATGGCCCCAGATGCTCATGGGACAACAACATGCCTGTGGAAAGGCTTTGTTAGTTTGTTCGGCTTTGCCTTCCCCTTCTCCACCTTGCAATGATGTTGTCTGAGGCTGAGAGCCTGGCAGTGATGGGAACTCACCCCTTTCTTACCTGACACCATTGCCCCATGACTTAATAAGGTCGAAAGTTCCTGGTAGGGTAGAGGCCAGTCTTCTGCACCCCAAAGGCTGTGATGAAGATGTTGAGGATGACTGTGATGAAGATGAGAGCTGTGGCAGCGTTGTTGAGTATATTCAGGCGGGGTTGCTTTGCAACATCATTCAGGTTCAAACGAGCTGTGTGATACAGTACAAAAAGAAGGAGAGATTTGTAGCTTGACCTCAAGTCCCCCAGCCCTTGCAAACCTTCTCTGCCTGGCGAATGTCCATGATGCCCCTGGGCGATGTGGCTACAGAGCAGAGGGAATAGTCCCAGGAACTTTACAGGAGCCACAGCTTGTCCCAGGACAACATAGGTCAGAGCAGAGGAAAAACATCTCTTTTTTCTCATGTCTTTTTTTCCCGTGGAGGTGCCATGGCCCTCCAACGGGCCAACCCTAAATAGACAAATGACTGCTGCATGCTAGCCAGGCATGTGTCATGTGAGCCCCTAACTGCATGACCATGGGACATGGCAAGGGAAGGTTGGGTGATATGGGGGACAAGGTCAGCAATGTCATACTCAGGTTGGGAGGCCAGTTCCCCCTTGACACCCAGATCTCACATATGTGCTGACAAAGCTGTCAACACCCTCCTCACCTGCAGAGCGAGAAGTATCTGGGTACCTGAGTGGGATCAACCAACCCTAGCTGATGGGCATTGATTGGTTTGGACATGGGAACACCCAAGTTACTGGGGCCATCTGGCCAATAAGCTGTGCAAATGGTAGCCTTGTGGCTTTCTGCCCTCAGCTGAGGTCCCTTGTCCACCTTCTTCTCACAGCTGGCTCCAGCCACCATAGCTGCCACCAGGAAGGGCTGTGCCATATGGGTCAGGGGAAGGAACACGTCACAGGATTTCCTGTAGCCTCTGATCCCGTGTCAAACATAAAAAAAACCAGGTAGGATATACAGCATTCTGCAGACTTTTAGTACTGGCCATGTGTTGAAGGCTGAAATACAGCAGCTCCTTTATCAGAAGGAGCACTGGGCAAGCTTGTCTGAAATGCTGGTCTTAATGTACTGTCAGTGAGGCACTAGGAGAACTGTGGGATTGGTTGAATGTGAGGTTAATATAGGGAATACCTCTGCCTAAATTGTTCTGTTAGGCCCCAGCTTGAGTGAGGTCCTAGGCACTAGGAGAACTGTGGGATTGGTTGAATGTGAGGTTAATATAGGGAATACCTCTGCCTAAATTGTTCTGTTAGGCCCCAGCTTGAGTGAGGTCCTAGGCACTAGGAGAACTGTGGGATTGGTTGAATGTGAGGTTAATATAGGGAATACCTCTGCCTAAATTGTTCTGTTAGGCCCCAGCTTGAGTGAGGGCCTAGGCACTAGGAGAACTGTGGGATTGGTTGAATGTGAGATTAATATAGGGAATACCTCTGCCTAAATCGTTCTGTTAGGCCCCAGCTTGAGTGAGGCAAAAGAGCCAGCTAAAATGGTGTATCTGCAGGAGCTGCATGAAGGGGCATGTTACAGGGTGGGCAGCAAGAGGCCTGAAACCCAGCTCTCCCTACAACAAGGATTGAGCAGTGGGGAAGTGAAGGAAGAGTGGTGCTCAGAGCTTTTGTGCGTGAGAAAAAACCAACCCACTCCTCACTTTGAAAAGCAATGACACAGGCCTCTCCACCGCCCATGTCAAGCTCTCTTCAACCGTCCTACAGCCCTGGTTGGAGCCAAGGAAAATGATTCAGGGATAGAGGTTTCTCCCTCCCAGCCCCGTGCTGGCCAAACAGCACCCTACAAGCATGCATGTGCCTCAGCAACCACCTTACCAGTGATGATGAGGAGAATCCCGATCATCACCTGGAAGAAGAGGGAGATGCTGATGAGCACGATGAGGGTGGCGTAGTACTGGAAGGAAGCCCCCTGCTCCAGCACCGCTTTGAGCTGCGTGACGTTGGCCATGAAGAGCGCCACATCCAGCATGCTCTCCGCCACGCTTTTCTTCGTGGCGTAGTGGTTGATGTTCATCGGCCCGTTGATCCGGAGATGAGGATTCACGCCCTGGGGAGACAGGAGAAACCACACAAACTGGTACAGTCGCTGAGCCTACAGACCCATCTGTGTCAAACGGGCTGCTGCCTCCCCATGGGGTTTATCTAGAAACCCTGGGAAAGAGTCAAAGTTGCCTGTTTTTAAGGTGTTGAGAGCTCCTGGTTTCCCCTCACAGTCACGTCGTGATATTAATAGGCACGAGATGCTTGTAGCGATCAAGAGTTCAGCAAGGTTAGAAAAATACTGGGTATTTTTGTGCAAAACAAGCTTGTCCAGAGTTACGATAATGTAGATTACCCAGAGCTGGGGATTTTGAAAGAAATATTAAATTCTCTTCCTTCAGGGCACAGACAAGCCTCAAACTTAGAGAGGATCAGAGCAAAATCTTCTCTTTGGGCCCGGTGTTCAAAGAACTGTCACTGTCTAGGCTTTATAACTCCTCTGAATGCTTTTTGCTGTCTACTGTCTTAGACAAGATGCTAGAGCAGATGGGACAATCCACATTTTTATTTCTGAAACCAGGGACACCATTTCTTCAAAATGTGAAATGCCCCAAGACAAGGGGTGGGATCTATCACACCTAACTTTAACTAATCATTCAGGCACATTTTTTGTCAGTGGGGAAAAAAAAAAGAGAGGTATTTACAAGAGGTAAATCACCTGGTTGTCCTTAATCTAATTGCAAGCTGTGGGTCATTTGGCTGCTTTTAGCCATCCACCTTTTCTCTGTCTTTCATAGTGAGTTCTCCTGTTAGCTGTCTTGACCCAGATAATGAAAAAAAAGAAAGACAAATAGAAAAGATAGTGCTCAATTCACCCAGAGTATCATCAGCTGGTAATAAACCACCACCAAAGGCAACAATTACAAAAGATTTGGACCTATGTGCAGCAAGCTATGATCTTCTTTCTAAAAAAGGAAGAAAAACAACACTTCCACATAGCACATAGGCTTCAGCTCTGGGTAATCAGCCTCCTGTCAGCTGCAGCAAAGACCAACAGCCTTCTCCTTAACGCTGTCTGATGGATAACCCTTTAAATCTGGATATAAGGGCCAGCTGTGGGCCTGAGGTAGTCTCCTTTGCTCAGAGTGGTGGAAGAGTTTTCTTCATACTGCATACTGGAAGTAGGACTGTGGCTACATCAACTGGTAAGTCCTATTATGGTCCTTTTTTTATCAGATGGTGTACAAAATGTAACCTTTTCTCTATGCTCTAAGCATGGCATGTCACAGGAGAAGGGTTATGGCTACTGCTTCGTTCTGCTGTACCTAATCTGTTTGTGCCCCCCTGGGCAAGAGTGGCTTTCTCTGTGCTGAGGTGGGAGAGTGAGCAAAACCAGTGGTTCTGGGAGAGTGCTGCAAGTAGTTGTGTGTCTGATACCAAAACTGGGGCTGAATTTTGGAAGGGGGTTGTGGCCTGTGCCAGCAATCACCCTTAGATGAGAAAGATGCATAGCGAAAAGCAGGCAGGAAAGGCTGTGTCCAGTTTGAACTATTGTGAAATATGATCCCTAAGAAGGCTTAAAGCACGTAATTCTTGGGGTTTCTAACAGTAAAGCCGTTGCGGTTAAGAGGCTCCTTTTAAAAGCTTGTATTTCTTGCTGTGGAAGGTAGAAGTTAAGAGATACTGGAAAGAGATAGAAGTCTAGAGAACTGGTAAGGACTCTAAGGCAGTGTGTAAGGGTTCAGGACTTCTTAAACACTGCTGTCTGGGGCAGAATAGAGGTATCTTGCATCTCTGGGAAAGGAGTCCAGCAAAAGGTCTGATTCTGGGAACATACCTTACAACCTAGATTCAGGCACTGTTCCTTCTCAGCTGGCTTAAAAGCGTGTGATCCTGTTGCAGCGGAGTGGTACCCACACCAAGTGGTGCAAGGTCTGAGATTTGACCCCTATCAAGTGTTTGTGTCTTTATTCCTGAAGAGTCAGCCCTCCTCCCTGCAGCGTCACAAGGCTGGGCATTGATTGTTTATCTGTGCGTAATGATGAGTTAAGGGTGCCAGAACAAGGATGCTGTACAAACAAGACAGAGCTTTTGTTGAATGAGTGACTGGTACAAGGGGGTTGAGACATCTGTTCCCAGTTGCTGATGCAAGGCAAACAAAGCAAGTCAGGGCCTTCTGTTGAATGACAACACAACCTCCTCCACCAGGAGCGTGAGTGCTCCTTTACCTGGAGGGCAGAGCAGCAATTTACTCAGCTCTGTGTCCCAGATGATCAGGCAATTTCACATGGGCTTTTCTCGTGTGAATGAGTGCAATGGCATGTTCCCCTGTCTGGGATGTGATACCACAGGCAGGGATGGCCACTGCTCTCCAATGAGGAGCCACAGGATCTGGGAAAAACCTTGCACTGAGCAACAAAAAACTGCGATTCTTGTTTCAAAGTTCTGTCAGCACAGGCTTAGTAGATCCACAAAGGCAGCCAAAAGGTTACTAAATGTTGAAAGCTGGACACCAAGCTTTCATGTAGGCAGCTAAAAAAAAAATCAACCTGTAGGAGCCCCTGTGACACCAGCTGAAGTTAGAGAAATCCAGCTCCTCTGTTGATTTAGCCCTTAGAGTTTTCTGCCCAGTCCAGCAGCTCTGAATGCAAGCCTAAAACCTCAAATAACATGAGGCTTAAACAAATCAGCAGTCTTCAGAGATCTGGCATTTCGGTTAAGGCAGGATGTCTTTGCTTAGGATGCCTGGTGCTGTAGGTGTCACCAGCTAACTGCCACATCTGTGAGGTGTGAACACATGGCTGTGACTTGTTTTTTGAGCTGCCACAATGCATGCACGGGTTTTCACAATGAGACCATTTCTGGTTTTGCTTTGTCTTAAAGTTCCGTCCTGTAAACTGCGGCGTCTTTGGGAGCTGATTTGCAAGCGGCTCTGGTTTCCCTGCATCAAGATTGCCCACACAGCTGTGGGGGGTTATGTGGGATCACTGGGGAGATTAAATAGTTCTGTTTTGGCAAACAGAGTCCCGAGTCAAGTACGGGACATACCTGAAGGCTCACCAAAGTGATTTGTGTCATCAGGCTAGAGCTGATGTCTTTCTAGCCAGTTTAAAAGTGTTCCCCTTCCGAGACTGAGATTCGCTGCCTTTTCTTCTCCATATTGTGTCAAAGAGAGGAAACCTGGATCTGGCAGACACCAAGTTCATCTTTCAAGCTTTGTTGCAGAGCCAGCGTGTCTGCTGGAAAGCAGCTCCTGATGGTATGCAGTGCTTTCCCAAGATGGGGATATATCTCTATTGCCCACTTTTTTAAGAGTAGGGAAATGAGGACTTGAAAAAGCACAGCCCAGTCACACAACAGCCCTGGCTGAACTGGGGCTGGAGCTCGGCTCCCGTGTCCCATTTCCGGATGTTTTGGCTTTCTGGATGAGGCAGCCTCTTTCCCTGCAAAGGCTCTGCTGGCTTCGGTCTGACCTCAGGCAAATCCCCTTTCTGCTTCCTTTTGTGTAAACGTGGCACAGCGGTACAGATCGGTACAGATCACTGCAGGGGCTGGGTGAAACACCCGTCTACACTTCCTAAGTCAGAAGTTTTATTCTGAAATAAGTACTCACAACCCCACTCCCAAATATTTAACTATCACCTCTATCATTATTTTAAATTTCTGTATGAATTCTTATAGAAAGAAGGATGAATATTACCAAAAGTGTGGGATTTATGTTTTTTTCCTCCTCTCTTTAAACTTGATCTCTGGTTTTGCTGTGGGGAGCTGGCTGGTCCCAGGGCTTGTGAAACCTGGCTCTGGCACCAGAGGGCATGCTGAGCTCCACAGCTTGCTGAAGCTACCTAAAAAACTTCCACTCAAATTAGTTTTCAAGGGAAATTATTTGCTTTTTAGTAGGCACTTAGTTTTACAAGAAATACCTGCTTTCTTCTGAAAACATTTGGAGGGGGTTCATCTAAATATTTCTTTCCCAAGCTTGCAGATTTGGGGCTGAGGGCAGCACAGAGCTTTCATAAAGCTACTTGGACAATTTCTATAAAACCTACAGTTTCTCTTGTCGTGTCTTTCAGGACAGGGGGGAAAAAAAATTACAGAGCAGATCTAATTGCAAATCTGTGGGCTTTGTGACCCTATCCCCAGGGGAGAACAGCCTGAAAGAGACAGTGGGACAGCGTGAGGCTCACAAGTATGAGAACGATAATCCTCTTCATGGGAGCGCTCTGGCAGAGGGGGGATGTCTGAAGAGAAACGATATTATTGGCCACTAGTTCCAAGGGAAATGCTGAAGGATGCCAAAGAAGACAGAGAGATGAATGCAGGCCATGCACTCGGAGGGGTAGGTGCAGAAATGCCCTCCATGGGGATTCCGGCTGATAAACAGCCAGCCCCACACAGGAGAGCACACACACACACAGCATCAGGCACCAGGGAAAATCCAGAGTATTTTTCCACGCTATTTGCCAGTTGGCAGCTTTAGAAGTACTTTGAAAACATCAGTTGATGAAGGTTAAAGCACACAGAGTCATCATCTTGCGAGGTAGGAGAGGCTCATAGCTCCCTTTCTACGGGCAGAAAGTGGAGAGATGAAAGGCCCTGCTCTCAATCAATACTTCTAAGTGCAGGGTTATTAGCTGCTCTGCTTTTTCCAGAGAAGCTCGCTCCCTGCAGCTCCTGACTGATTCACCTGGGATGGAGGGAGCCAATTTTAATAATTTTGGCCTACGTGCCACGCCGAGGCACAGATGACAGCAGTGATTACCAGATGTCTGCCCCCCCCCCCCCGCGGGGGCAGCCTTCCCC